GGTGAACTCCCACCCCAAGTCCCCAGATCAGAGCATCAAGTGCGCTTTCTGAACCCCACTCCTCATCTCCCCTCCAAATGAGGGTCTGTCTCATCTGTAACACAGGGCTGTAACTATCTCATAAGGTTATTGCCGTATTAATAGAAGAAAAACACCTCACACTGAGGAAGACATGTAAGTCTATTGAATAAACTATTGTTTCTGGCGTGTCTGTTATCCCTGTGATATTCAGTGTTTGTTAGCTCTGGTGCAGGCTTAACAATCATTCCATTGAGCAATACTGACATGGAGAAGGCAGGCAAAACACTCCACACCCCACCCATCTTGAGGGTTTCTAATGTCCTTTCACCCACTTGCAACTACATTCAGGAGAGGACAGCCCTATCAGGAGCTAGTCACGTGAAGAGCAGTCTCCGCAATCCTTTCTTAGACTTTTGGTTTTTTTTTTTTTTTTTTTTTTTTTTTTTTTTCCTGCAGCACTGGGCCTGGTGTGTACACTGAAACAATCAAACAGGAAACACACTGTCTCCATCTCCAGAACCCCCACCCTCACCCAGAACTGGGTGTTCATTTCTCAGGTTATTGAGGAGAAATGAAAAACACAGATGGCTTGTAGTTCAGGCGGCATTGGGTATCTGTTGTAAACAGTGGAGCCTATGCTGTATTTATGGATTGCAAAATTAGAACAATTGTGTAAATCACTGATTCTCAATGGGAGGGAGGCCCCAAATGAATGAGAGGGTAGTTGGAGAAGAATATATCCAATAATATAATTTCCTATGTGAATAAAAAACTTTTGTTTTTGGACCACAAACTATAGAAAGTAAGTAAGGCTTGAACAAATCTCAGCTAGGAGAGTATAGGTTAAATATTCCATTGCATATTTTTCCCTGCTTTGTCAAAGATTACTTGGCCATACGTTTGTGGGTCCATTTCTGGGTTCTGTATTCTGTTCCGTTGATCTGAGTGTCTGTTCTTATGCCAGTACCATACTGTCTTGATGATTACAGTTTTGTAGTATAGCCTGAAATCCGGGATTGTGATGCCTCCTGCTTTGGTTTTCTTTTTCAAGATTGCTTGGCTACTCAGGGTCTTTTCTGGTTCCATACAAAAAAATATGGAATGCTTCACGAATTTCTTGCGCAGGGGCCATGCTAATCTTCTCTGTATCATTCCAATTTTAGTATATGTATTGCCAACATGAGCACGAGAGTATTGGTTAAATAAATTGAAACACTGATTGTAACATGGTTCTGCTTAAGAAGCAGACAGGGGAAATCCTTGTGCAGCCAAGCCTGTTATTCTCAATGCATGCATTTCTTATCAGGGAAATACAAATCAAAACTACATTGAGATACCACCTCACACCAGAGTGGCTAAATTTAATGACTCAGAAACAACAGATGTTGTCGAGAACGGGAACCCTCTTGCATTGCTGGTGGGAATGCTAACTGGTAGAGCCACTCTGGAAAACAGTGTGGAGGTTCCTCAAAAAATTAAAAATAGAATTACCCTATGACCCAGCTATAGCACTGCTGGGAATTCACCCAAGGGATACAGGATTGCTGATGCATAGGGGCACTTGTACCCCAATGTTTATAGCAGTACTTTCAACAATAGCCAAATTATGGAAAGATCCCAAATGTCCATCAACTGATGAATGGATAAAGATGTGGTATACACACACACACACACACACACACACACACACACACAATGGAGTACTACTCGGCAATGAAGAAGAATGAAATCTTGCCATTTGCAACAATGTGGATGGAACTGGAGGGTATTATACTAAGTGAAATAAGTCAGTAAGAGAAAGATATATGTTTTCACTCATATGTGAAAGCTGAGAAACTTAACAGAAGACAATGGGGGAAGGGAAATTAAAAATAGTTACAAACAGAGAGGGAGGCAAACCATAAGAGACTTTTAAATAGAGAACAAACTGAGGATGGAAGGAGATGGGGGTCAGGTGAGAAAGGAAAATGGGTGGTGGGCATTGAGGAGGGTGCTTGCTGGGATGAGCACTGGGTGGTGTTGTATGTAAGTGATGAATCATGGAATCTACTCCCAAAGCCAAGATGCATTTTTTTTAAGTAGACTCCGTGCCCAGCACAGAGCCCAACACAGGGCTTGAAATCACAACCCTGAGATCAAGACCTGAGCTGAGCTCAAGAGTCAGCCACTTAACCAACTAAGCCACCCAGGTGCCTGAGATGCATTTCTTAAAGTATATTATGTGTAGGAAGATAAAATGTTTGAAATATAAGTTGACCCTTGAACAATGCAGCGGTTAAGGGCTCCAATGCCCTGCACAGTTGAAAATCTTTATATAACTTTTGACACCCCAAACTTAACTATTAATAGCCCACTGTTAGCCAGAAGCCTTTCTGATAACATAAACAACCAATTAACATGTTTTGTATATTATATGTATTGTATACTGTTTTCTTTTTTTTTTTTTTTTTTTTTTTTTTTTGGAGAGAAAGACAGTTCTCAAGCAGGGAGGGGTAGACAGAGGGAGAGAGAGAATCCCAAGCAGTCTCCACACTGTCCACACTGTCCTTGCTGTCAGCAGGGAGCCCCACACAGGGCTAGAACTCATGAACTGTGAGATCATGACCTGAGCCAAAATCAACAGTTGGACATTTAACCGACTGAGCCACCCAGACACCCGTATATATTGTATTCTTACAATGAAGTAAGCTAGAGAAAAGAAAATGTTATTAACAAAATCATAAGAGAAAATATATTCACATTACTGTACCATGTGGAAAAAAAATTCACATATAAGCAGACCCACACAATTCAAACCTGTGTTATTTAAGAGTCAACTGTTTTTGGATTTGAAATACAAAGTTGGTGGGTGACAGCGTTCAGTTTGAACCCAGACCCACCCTCTTCCAGGATCTCAGGACCTCTTCTCAAGAGCACTTCCTTTAAAGGAGAGCAGCCAGCAGAGGGGCATCTTACACAACCTTGGGGTGACAAGAAAGCTGAGCAATTCCTCAAAGACAGGATGAAGAGAAAACCCAGGAGGACCAAAGAGAGATTCTCATTTATGCAAGCCTTACTGAGGACCTACTATGCACCAGAATTATACCACCAAGATACACAAAGCTCCTGCTTGAAACGACTATAGAAAAAATTGCCTGCTACTCCGGGGAAACGCTGACCACATAAGCTAAAAACGTTCAGGAAGAAAAGAACCAGAGGTAGAATCGTGGACAGGACCAGGAAGGAAAGTCTGGATGGGAAAGTCTATGAGCAATGATATAAGGGTAGGGATAACAGAAGATAGAGAAAAACAAATTCTCCACATAGTAAGTGATCAACAATGCGTCCACATAACAGTGATGCCCAGAGCATTAGAAAGTGGGAAGTAGGGGCACCTCGGTGGCTCAGTCAGTTAAGCATCCGACTCTGGATTTTGGCTCAGGTCATGATCTTGTGGTTGGTGGGATCGAGCTCCCTGTCAGGCTCTGAACTCAAGTGTGGAGCCTGCTTGGGATCCTCTCCCTTCAGCACTCTCTGCTTCCTGCCCCTCCCCCACTTGCACACACACATGCACACACGTGTGCGCTCACTCTCTCTCTCCCTCCAATAAACTTAAAAAAAAAAGTAGGAAGTAGTGGGGAGTACTGTTATATGAAAGGAGCTAGATTAAGGTGGGCATTGGATCAGGTAGCAAGGTTTGATCAGTGCAGAAGGCAGACTCGGTCTGCAGGGAAATCTATACGTTATAGAAATATCTGGAGTATTAAAAAAAAAAATACTGCTACCTCTGAAAGGAGAGAGGAGGAAAAACATGGATAAGTTATACAAAATTAATTAATTTGTGAGCAAGAATTGCATGTTTCCTGAGCCCTTACATGGTGCCAGGAATTAGGCAGGGAAAGATGACTAAGATATAGTCCTTCTTTGGCCAAATAATGACACATGTGGGTGATGGGACAGCATGAAGCTATTAAAAAGAATGTGGCAGTTCTTAAAGGAACTGTACATAACAATCTCCAAGTTTGCGTGCTAAGTGAAAAAAGCAAGGAGCAGAATAAGCATGTACAGTGTGCTGTTTCTAAAGAAGAGGAGGAGACTTACATGTTTATATTTACACAGACAAGCTCTGGGTGGATATGCAAAACACTGGTCACAGAAGGTGTCTCTTGGGAGAATTAAGGGACTGGGAAAGAGTGAAAAAGACTTTTTACTATAGACACTCTTTGATCTTCTTGTATTTTATATCAGGTACACATATTGCCTATTCAAAAATAGTTTTTAGAAATTTAAAAATAAAACTCCGTTCTTTTTCAAAAGAGCTCACCATTTCAGGTCATGGATCCCGTATCCTAATGTTAGCTGTTTCAGTCAACATGTAAACTTAACCTCTACAGGAGTACCTTTCCTGCATCTAGATTCACCAGAATATATAGTGATATAATAGTTGATGAATTTCTCCTCCTTGCCTGCCCTCAGCAGCAACAGAAACAATAAAAATGAGAAAATGAGATCTTCTGGTCCATGTAATCTTTTTGTCCACCTGAATTGCCTACTTTCTGCCTTCCACAGTATAGGATACCCACATCTTAAGTTTATTATTTTTTTAAAATTAATCTCTATGCTCAACGTGGGTCTGGAACTCACTAGACATCTAGAGTAGCAGCCTCCATCAACTGAGCCAGCCAGGTGCCCTATTTTTAAAAATCTGATTTGATTTGATTTTTTTTATATATAACCACATTTTTTAATGCACCAGCCTCCTACGGGACAGCAACATTTTCTTAAGCTAGGGAAGATGAAGGAAGTTTTTAAAAAGAGGGGGTTAAAAAGCTCAGAGTTTGGCCGAACGGGCTCTTCGAGGCTCCTACTTGAAGTGCGCATTTCCTCTCCGCTTTCAAGAGATGTCCTTCGACCAGAAGGGCGTTTTTGTCTCCAGTCCACACAGACCCAAACTTTTTCTCTCGTCACGTGCCTGGCCCGGGCCAGTGGGCTGCTTCGTAACTCGATCACCGAAGAGCTGCCAGGATGGGCGGTGCAGTGACAGCCAGCAGCCGCTTAGGTAGGGGCTGAAGGCAAGAGAGGGAAAGCCTGAGCTGTGACCTCCGCGGAGCTGGGAATCGGCCCGTTGCGCAGGTGAGTGGGACCCTCTGGGGAGGGTAGCGGTTTGCCAGGGTCAGGACGCATCGGAGTTCACTTAAAGGCAAAGAATGTTCTGGTCACCTCTGCTGCCTCCCTGGCCTCTCCACTTAACCTACAGGTGAGGTTTGCCTCCGACCAATGTCCTGGGACGTTTTCTTAGGGCGGAGTCCCTACAAGCCTCCCGCTAAGGTATGCATCCTCTGCCTTTGTACCATTCACCTCCTCAGTGGTCTTGTTTTTCTAGCAATTGACAGGCAGGCCTGTCAGATTGGACTGGGTTTGGCTTCACAACCAGGTGAATAAAGGAGAAGCTCTCAAGTCAGAACTTGAAAGGGCAAAATCCAACGGGAAGTCTGCCATCAAATTGCTTCTCACACAGCTCCCACAACTGCCATCAAATTGTTTCTCGAACCTGCCAGGATCACCTGGAAGGCACGCAGCCCGTTTTAAATGTCTTAAAACTGTAAAGCGCCAAGAAAATGTGTGTGAGCTGGGAGTGGGCAGCCACGTCAACGCTGTCTTGTTGCAACGTCCTAAGTAAGGATTTATCAACAGCTTCAGAATTACTAGCAGCTAGGCAGTGCCTCTGGAAGGATTCTCCCAAGCTCACTGGGCGAGAGGGTGCAGCCAGTGTGTGTAGATGGGGCTGGTGTTCAGGGTGCTCACACAGGCCCTCTGGGGCTTCAGGCAAGCAAGACAGGATATAGACTGTGGTTTGCTTCAGTTTTATGTGCAATTCCAACTAGATTTTTCTGGTTGCGATAGCAAGATTCAATTCAGTTTGGTAAAACAGCAATGCTCCAAGCATCAGCCTCTGGCCTTAGAAAAGGAAATGTTGGGGCACCTGAGTGCCTCAGTCAGTTAAGTGTCCAACTCTTGATTTTGGCTCAGGTCATGATCTCACAGCTCCTGAGTTCCCCACTCCTCACTGACAGTGTGGAGCCTGCTTGGGATTTTCTTTCTCTCTCTCTGCCCCTTCCCCAAGTGCTCTCTCTCTCTCTCTCTCTCTCACTAAATAAGCTTAAAAAAATTTTTTTTTAAGAAAGGAAAGGCCTTAGGATAAGGACAAGGAAAAGGGGCTGATGTATTTAATAGCAAATGTTAGACACCTTACGAGGGCAAAAAACAACGCTTTTTATTCAATTCCCCTTCTTTCATTTATTCAACAAATACTTCCCGAGTATCTGTTTGGTGCTGCGGATCTCACAGTAAACAAAGGCAAGCTCATTGTCCCAGGCACGCAATCAAGTGGGAACAGTTAACTCAAGGGGTGCAAGTCCCCTGCAGCAAGCAAAAGCAGTGAGAGGAACACTTGTAGAATGATCCAGATTCACGGTCTTTTTGGCTCGGAGCTTAACCTTTTCCTTCAGGCATTTCATCTTCTTGAATGCATGTCTTTTCGTCTGGAAAATCCTCACTTGCATACAGACATTGCTCTTAGCAGCTCCCTAGAATCTTCCTCACCAGAGGCTTTAAGCTGTGTAAGTACATTTGCGGTCAGTGTCCTCAGTCCTGGAGGCAGACTGCTCAGCTTTTCCCAAGAATACGAACAGCCCCGCTGAAGTAATGGGCTAGTTCTAGTCCTGTCCGTAGCCCTCTCCCAGTGTCATTTCCCACTCACACAGGAGAATCTGTGTTATTCCAGACACACATGCAGTGTCCGGCAAAGTCTCAGGAAGCCTGGATTTTTCCAGAAACTGTGTGGAGTTTGAAACAAGCCAGTCCTGCTACAGAGGCCTATCTTCTTGGCTTACAAAATAGAAGGGGTAGATTAGGTGATCAATGAGGTCTTGTTTCTTTTTTTCTCCTCTAAGCGTAAATAATTCTAACAATTTCACAAGATGTCTACAAACGAACAGTGCACAGTCCTATAAAGATGCTGTATCTTATACCTAGAAAACGGGAGCACTCATCAACCATGCAGAATATTCAGGGACCTAGAATCTGAGAGAAAATCTGAAAGAATCAGGCAGCAGATAAAACTTAAAATTAAACAATCTCTGCCTTTCCCATGCTTCTGCTCAGATTCTCAGAGGTCATGAACATCAGCTGTAGCCTCACTGTTATCACTTTCCTAGGCTGGAGATTCTGCAGTAAGAAGCTTGCCTAGTCAGAATCATCTTATTTTCAAAAGAACCGTTGAAAAAAAAAAAATTTTAAAAGGGGCGCCTGGGTGGCGCAGTCGGTTAAGCGTCCGACTTCAGCCAGGTCACGATCTCGCGGTCCGGGAGTTCGAGCCCCGCGTCGGGCTCTGGGCTGATGGCTCAGAGCCTGGAGCCTGTTTCCGATTCTGTGTCTCCCTCTCTCTCTGCCCCTCCCCCGTTCATGCTCTGTCTCTCTCTGTCCCAAAAATAAATAAACGTTGAAAAAAAAAAAAAAAAAAGAACCATACTTTAAGAGTATCTAATTTGGATAATCTCACAATATATATCAAATTCCCTTTAAAGCAAAATCAATGCATTGTTCTAAAGTAGAAGGATATTGAATTAAATATATAATCATTGTGGTTGATTTTGTTTGCCAGAATTTCTAGCTTGAGCACGACCATTGGCAAGCAACGTTAAGGAATGTCTTTGGTTGAAGACACATCGGTCTGCCATGTTTGGGGTCTCTCCTAGAACCTTTCTGACAGACTGTGTCCACTTAAAACTGAAAACATGTCTGCTAGCGTGTAGAAAGACACAGAAGACAAGCTGCTTTGGCATAAAATAGTCAACAGAATGTGGGGTTGTGTAGCTTAGAAGGGTCAACCACCTAGACAAGTATCTTGGGAGATAGCATGTGGGCATAGTAGCCTAGCCAAAGAACAAATGGCCTGCTGGGAAATGTTTCATTGCTTCTAGTGAAATCAGAGGTCAACAGTTAAATGCTGTGATTCCTGCAGCCAAAAAGAGCTTTCCCACCATCAGAAGGTAAGCAGTCACCTTTCCTTTGGCCAGAAGGTTTACCTGGAGCAGAGGGTTCCCAGGTCTCGCTTATATATCAGCCCCTAATCACCCAGGCCAGCCACACTCAGTTTCCATAACATGGATACATTGGGCGTCACCACTCTGCCTTTTGGAATCAAGCAGGGCTGCCTCCTCCCAGGGTCAAGGTCTCACTGAACAGTCACCCTAGGCTCTCTTAATTTTTGTTTTTAATTTTAATATCTGGTTCTGTTTATTTATACTTTATACCCAGTCTCCATCTCAAAGGAATTTGAGATAGCTTCCAATAAGGGATATATACAACAGAATGGTTGCAAATAAGTAAAAACTGATTAGAAACCACCAGGCATTCAATAAATACCTTTCATACTGTTTTGCATTGTGATCTGTAGAGAAAAGAACCAGCTGCTTTGTTGCCATTGCTTTGCTTTGGGATCATGTAAAGCTGTTAGCAAAAAAAAAAAAAAAAAAAAGAAAAAGAAAAAGAAAAAAAAAAGAAAGAGGCAGAGACAGAGAGAGAAGAAGAAGAAACAGGGCACTAGTTCTTCATCATAGTCACCTTTAATAATCTAACGAATGCTATGAATCTTTCTCTCCTGGAAAATGAACACGGAAAAATTGGCGTACACTTTCAGGGGAAACAAAGACTTCTCAAAGCCTTTCAGAAATTGAAATTAATCTGATTTAGAGAAGTGGAGAGCTAATTACAGGGAGAGCTAATTACCCTACAAAGCTTCAATACAATGTTTCCTACGAATGGGCATTGAATTTATTTAAAACTTTTGGACAGTTCTGTAATTTTCTGAATAGGTAAAATATAACTTGTGGCACAGAATTCAAAAGGCACGTAGCAAACAGATACCCTTCCTCCTCCCCTGTCCCCCCAGCCGCCCAGTTCACCTCACCAGAAGCCACGATTGTAACTGGTTTCTTAGATATTCTTCCAGCAATAGCCTAATATTCTGTGTATTATTCTGTGCTTGCATTAACAGCACACACACACACACACACACACACACGCATGCATATGTTCCACACATCGTTTACTGGCTACAAATGTTTCACTACTGGACGTTCTATATAGTTTATTTCACCAATCACTACTGATGGATATTTAACTTGTTTCTAATCTTTAGCCATTATAAACTGTCACACGGAACATCTTTGTACATACATCATTTTTATACAGGATTATATAATAGAAAAAAATATCCCAAAGTGTAATTGAATATTAAATTTAACTCTGAGCTTACTGGCAGTCAAAGCAAAAAGGCAGGGATCAGGGGACCAAAATGGATTGCCTAAAATTTGTTTGCATTTTACAAAAAAAACTTACCATTGCTTTCAAAGAGGAAAACTGTACATTAATGTCTTTGTAGGAATTTATCATCTGTATCCTCATACGAAGTATGTTGCTTCTTTCGGAGAACTAAATAATGGAGTAGGGAATATTTCCAATGGCAGTTTTGATATCCATGTGGTAGATTCATACATCTATCTTGATTTTTTTAAGTTTTTATTTAAATTCCAGTTAATTAATACACAGTGTAACATTAGCGTCAGGTGTACTATATAGTGATTCAAAACTTCCATGTGCTCATCACAAGTGCCCTCCTCAGTCCCCATCATCTGTCTCCCCCATCTCCTGCCCATCTCCCCTCTGGCAACCAGCAGTTTGTTCTCTATAGTTAAGAGTCTGTTTCTTGGTTTGCTGCCCCCCCCCTTTTTTTTCCCTTTTGCTCACTTGTTTTGTTTTTTAAATTCCACATATAGGTGAAAATATGTGCTATTTGTCCTTTTCTGACTTATTTCACTTAGCATAAAATTCTCTAGCTCCATCCATGTTATTGTAAATGGCAAGATTTCATTCTTTTTATGGCTGAATAATATTCCAGTGTGTGTGTGTGTGTGTGTGTGTGTGTGTGTGAGAGAGAGAGAGAGAGAGAGAGAGAGAGATCTTTTTTAAATTAATTTTTTAATGTTTTATTTATTTCTGAGTGTGTGTGAGAGAGAGAGACACAGAGCATGAGTGGGGGAGGGGCAGAGAGAGAGGGAGACACGGAATCC